AAGGAGGCCTACTGTTATCGCTCCAGACTGAAGCTGCTACGTAATTTCTTCAGTGGGCTAACTGACGGATAGCTTTCTGGGAGTAGATCTGGCTGTGCCAGACCCCGACCAGCGTTTCGGATAAAGTCGATGACCTTCACTGACTTCGAACCGCGAACATGTTTCCGTGGGAAGATCTTCTGATGGCGTCGGTTAGATATTATGAAGTTTTCTGATAGACTGGAATGTGCTCTTCAATATGCAATTGGGTGCATTCGGTTTAAATTTGGCAAAGTGTAATTATTACGTTTTGGTTAGGGAGTGAGCGACTTTTATTGCCCCCTCTCCTTTCCGAAGATCCAACTCTCAAGCACCTTCTGAAGGCTTCTTCAATATTGACCAACCGCTCTAAAACTCGATATATCCGATTTTTCGGTCGTACCAGGAGTGGTTCTGGAGCCTGATCCGCCCCGGATTGGTGAAATTGATAGAATCAAACGAAAGTCGATCGAGTGGATTTGAGCCGTTTAGACACGGTGAGCACACGAAGTCAGCGTGAATTATGATGTTCCCGCCGCAGTCACGTACAATGCGCTACGCATTGACGTCTCATTGACTGCACTGCTTATGCCTTAATCCGGAGAGCGCGGAGAGTGCGCATCGTACGTGTCTGCGGTGGGAACATCACAATTCACGCTGACTTCGTGTGCTCACCGTGTCCAAACGGCTTAGCCGATCGAGTGTTATGGATACGGTATCGGCAATATTATTCCACTAGGACATCCAAGGTGAAATAGAGCATTGTTCTGACACAAATTGATAGATCTCTTATCAGTAACCATATCTTTGACTATCTGTTAATCGAGTAAATGATATTTATGTCTGAATAACAAGTTGATACGCATAAGGATTGAGTCATTACGTAAACAACCTCAAACATGACAGTGAGGAATACGAAGTTCTCCTCGGGAATTCTCATAAGGAGTGAAAGGCAGCAATGTGGAATTCGTCACAGGAAGCTCATTCCCTTTGTTTAAGATTTATGACCATCTCAGCACTCGACAAGTTCAGACGTCCCGGCAGCTCTGGTACACTAAAATATCCGGATTCGACCTCCTATTCTTCATTCCGGAGTACCGCCCGTAGACTACGTCGCGCAGCCAGAAGGCAGAGACGCGGAGGGGTCAGCGGACGAGTCGCAGCGCGCACTGCACTGATTTTGCGCCAAGTGTACTATGGCACGCCCACAGCACAAACCACGCACTGCGACTTGTCCGCTGCCCATCTGCGTCTCTGCGTTTTCGCCATGCGACGGGCTTCTTGTCGAGTACCCCACAATCTCAGAACCGGATTCTGAAAACCCACCCCTTTCCCTCCGTACATAGCAACCTTTCGCATGAATTGTATGTTATGACATCTGGAAATCTTCGGAACCAGAGCTAAATCCAGAGTGCCATCTCCTATTCCTGAACAAAAAATTGGGGATTTTTGTCCATAAAGTCCCTATGAAGAATCGCGTACCTGTGAAGGGGGCCAAGCCGTAGGGGGTAAAAGGCGTGACTGTGGGAATCACGCAACAGATGACGTGCGTGAATTCAGCATGCCAGTGATAGTCGTAACGCGGGGATGACGTCGTCGTAGGCGATGAATCACTGAAGCATATAGAAATTAAAAAATGAAGTCGAAGACTGTTATAAAG